AAAGAAAATTATGCAAAATTTTAATTAACTAATGAAAGTCAAATCTTGTAAAAGTTTATGATATTTTTTCATTAACATCAAATAGTTTCTTATATAAATTTATTTCAAAAGTGTAGCAACATTCTATCAATTTGTTTTTAAAAATAATTGATATTTTAATTAAAAAAGCTCATTATTTTATTAAATTTTTTAATAAATTAATTTTTTTAAAAAATATAAATTTATTAGTAATTGATGTTTTCCCTCTAATTTTAACATCTTACTTAATTTTTAAATATTTGTCAGCAACTTTTCTTTGAGTTACTTCAAATAAGTTCTATCTCATCACATCTATTTATTTGTATAAAGGTTGGCAATCCCATTACATGGACATGATGAAAGAAGCCTTATACCAATTACATATGAAATTAGGTCGGTTCATTACACTTAAATTTCGTTTGGAAAAATTTTTGTACTAGAAATCTGTTTTAAGAAGAAAGCCATCACAAACGAAGCTGTATTCATATTTTAAATTTATTTGCCTTTCTTTTTGTTTCTTTGATTTACTTTTAATTAATTTGGCTAATTAATAGATGATCTTAAATTGGCTTGAGATCAAAAAAATCAAAGTAGTCTAAGGAGATTTTTTGCCAATGGTATTGAACTCAAAAAATTTTGATTTTAATTCAAATATATTCCGTTGAGTTCATTGACTACACTAAAGTCAATCCAAAAGGTTGATGCATTAATTGTCCCAATTAAGATCCATAAATCCTCATAACGTCTGAAAAGACTTAAAAGTTAACGAATTTGGTCTTGGTCCATTGGAACTAGTTTAATTATCCTAGTTTGACTTTAGGATTCTTGCTAAATTTGGCTATTTTAATGTGATCAATGTGTTTAGGTTGAATGAATAAACTTGTTTGAAAAAAATTCAAGAGCTAGGGTCATTCATATGAACTTGGACCAGCCTAAAATGATTTTTACTTATTTTAACTTTGGGTCAAACTAAGGGATTTTTGCTAGTCTTGGCTACCCTAGTAAATCCATTAAGATGAATTAAGTGCATTGAACTTAATCAAAATATTTTTAAGAGTTTATTAGCTCAAGATATGTTTGAGCTAACTTGAAATTCATGATTGCTTAAGTATACTCTTCTCTACTTAGGCATGGCTTAATAAATTTAAGTACAAGCTAAAAGCCACACTGACATAAGAAGTCTCTAAGTAACTCATGGTAGAGCCCAATTAGTTGATTGGGCAATTAGGAAGTCTTTAGAATTTTGTTGAATTTGATTAGGATCTAGCTAATGGGTTGAACACTTGGACTTAGCTTAAGATTATGCTAGGTCTAATCAACTAATTTGCTTATGTTTGAGCCATACCAATATTATTTGCATTAGTTTGATGATGATGAGATTTCTTGTATAAAGTTTGATCATATAAATTGATTTGATCTTGGTTTTAATGTCTTCTAACTAGACTATTTTTCTTATATACTAAGAAAAAACTAAAGCAATGTCTATGCCAACTAGCTGTGTCAACTGATTAGCATAAATTTGTTAAATGCCACAAAAATAATTTTATGATGGTTTGCTATCATCTTAGCTAAAATTTTGGATGCCTTAAACTCCTTTTTTTTTCATTTTCCTATAAATAGGGATGTAAATATTTGACACGATCCGGTCCCAACCCAAAATGTTTCAACTTCGGGTCAACCTGTTTGACATACGGGTCAGGTTCGGGTTCGACAAGTCGACTTGTTTTAAAAGCCGGGTTGGGTTTGGGTTGACCCAAAAACCTAAAAATGATATGAATTGACCAGTTTATCCCAACTTACCGTTGTTCGTGGTACGCCTATACCGCGAGATCTCAAGTCTCTTCCATGCATCGCCTACCTCTTATCTCGAGGCCGCCTCCCAACTTACCGTTGGTCTTCGCCTCTTCCACTAGCTCATATCTACTGGACCGCCATCACCATTTTCCACACCCGCCATGGCATCTTCTTCTATTGCCTTTTGCTACACCGTGCAAGGCTCCGCCTGCTTGCAAGCGATTTGGCGATTGCACACATTTTGTGTTCACGGGTTGGGTCGGATCAAGTTGTTAACCTACACGGGTCAGTTTGAGTTGGATTTGTTGGCCTGCTTACAAAAAAAATGGATCGAGTTAGGGTTAACCCATTTAAGCCTGGGTTAATCCGGGTTTGACCCGAGCCCGACCCGTGGACCCGTTTTGACATATATACCTATAAAGATACTTTATTTTATGGAGCCTTGTTTTTGGTCCTCCTAAATAACCCTGTTCAATGGTACTCCTCAATCTGCCTTCAAGAACTTCACTCTCTAATTGGGCAACTATAAATCCATCAAATGGCTCCTCTATAATATCCCAATTCCTTATTTTTAATAATATCTTTTTTATCCATATATATTTTATTTTCATTCTAGATCTTTATCTTTTTTAACATTGTTGTTGCCAGATACGAAGTCCTAGATGAGAAAAATGAAGGGTTGCATTAGATAGTTGACAAACAGTATAAAACTTGTCAAATAAACATGACATGAATACTTTAATATATTATGTTAAAGCTAGGGAAGTCCCTAGAAGCGACATGCTATATGACCTAAATACAGTGAGAAGTGTACAAGGACCGTTGCACCTGTGACTATGTGTAATATTAAATAAGCAAGGGTTCCCACATCATGGATGGATTTGGGCAACAAAATTAGTCCATAAAACTAAAAATAAGATAGGATATTAAAATATAGGTTCTCTTATAGACAAATTAATATAATTAATAGATATTATGATTCATAAGAAGATAAATATTTTATGCATTAAAGAAACTAAATAGGTTGGAGAGATAACTAAGGAGATTGATAGTTTAACACTTAAAATATAATATTTTGATAGGAGTCATACTAGAAATGATGTATGTGTGATTATAGAGAAGAGTTTAAATGATAATATCATAAGAATAAATAGATTTTGAGATAAAGTTATAGCTTTAAAGATTATTATATTCATGATATTAATATTATTAATATTATAAGTGCTTATGCTCCTAAAGTAGATTTGTATATATTCAAATTTAAAATTTTGGAATGAGGTAGAAGAATTAATACAAAAGATACCTCTTAAAGAAAGAAATTTTATTTGAAGAGATTTAAATGGACAGATTGCAAAAAAATGCATGATTTTAAAAACATTCATGATGGCTATGGGTTTGGAATGACTAATAAAAGTGATAAAATCATATTAGATTTTGCTATATTTTATAATTTTAAAATTTCTAATACATCATTTAAGAAAAAAAGATGAGCTTCTCATTATTTATAAGAATAGATATAGTAAAACTTAGAATTATTATTTTCTTATAAGAAAAATAGATCATTTATATTGCAAAGATTGTAAAAAGTTTATGTATCTAACATCGTTTATTAGTTTTGAACTTTAAGATGAATGGACATAATATTAAAAATAAAATAAAATATTATTCTAAGATTATATGAGAGCATTTAATTATATTAACAAAAATATTTTTGAGAGTAAGATTCTAGATCTTAAGATTTTTTTTGTTTATGAGAAAGATAATGTTATGTGAGAAAAAATAGCCAGTGATATTGATAATACAATAAATGATGTGCTTAGAGTATTGAAGAAAAAAAATTATAATAGTAAAAAAATAGTTGGTTATGAAATCAAAATGTGCATGAAAATATAAAAAGGAGAATCTACGTATGATATTTATTGATTTAAAGCAAACATATGATAAAGTTCCAAGAGAAGTGCCATGGAGAGTTATAGAAAAGAAAGAGATTAATAATGCTTATATTCATGTCATTAAGGATATGTATGCACGAGTTGTTACTTATTTTCAAAAACAAGGTAGTTTGACTAAGAATTTTCCTATTTTAGCCTTGAGCCCTTATTTTTTTGCTTTAGTCATGGATGTTCTCACTAGACATTTGCAAGAGGTTGTACCTTGGTGTATGTTGTTTGCTTATGATATTATTCTTTTTGATAAGACTAAAGAGGGAGTTGAATGTAAACTTGAATTATGGAGGTCAACCTTAGAGTCTAAAGATTTTCATTTGAGTAGATCTAAAATCAAATATACGGAGTGTAATTTTAATAATAATAGATCTAGTGAGGGGGGGGGGATTGTGACTTTGGACGATCAAATCATTAATAAGAGTACACATGTTAGATATATTGGGTATGTTATTCAGAGTGATGGTGAAAAAATGATGATATTATTAGTAGGATTTAAGTTGGATGGATGAGGTGGAGGAATGCATATGGCTTGTTGTGTAATAGGGAAGTCCCCTCAAACTTAAATGAAAATTCTATAAGATGATAGTGAGACTTGCAATGCTTTATGGTGCAAATGTTCGCCATTAAAAGAGAAACATAATATCAAGTTAAGTGTTGCAGAGATGAGGATGCTCAGGTGGTTGAGTGGCTTTACTCTTAAAGATATATGAAACCAACATATACATGAAATGGTTGGAGTAACTCCAATGGAAGATAAGATTAGAGATAGTCACCTTAGATGGTTTGGCCACATTAAACAGAGGACTTCCGATGACTTAATTATGAGAGTAAATGTATGAGATTTGATTTACGTTAATAAAGTTAAAGGTGGAACTAAAAAGATTTAGTTAGAAAATATTAGAAATGACATTTATTTATTAGATTTAAATAAGAATTTGATTCTTAACAAAACACATTAGAGAAAAAAAATTAATGTAGTCAACTCCACGTTGATTTTATTGTCTAGATCTTTCTTTTTTTTTTTTATAAATCCTCCATCCTTTATATTTGAGGCCTCATTTGTGAACATATGTTTTATTTTTAATTTATATATCACTCTATGCTTTTAATTCTAAAAATGAAAGAAAAGGAAGGGCTGGGCAAATTAATATTTTTATGCACACCATCTTAAATTTTGTGATTAGCAATTGAAAAATAAAAAAAAGTAGATTTTTATCCAGAGAATCTGAATTCTAGGCCTTTAAAACAGGCTAAAGTTAAAAAAAAAAAAAAAAAAGAGTCGACATCTCGTAAGGTAATGTTACAGATTAATCGAAGCTCTAGATTTTTTTTTTTCTCTAAAACTATCGTTTTTCTATCAAGGCAGTGCAGCCGAGCTCTGCTCTCCCGCCCTCTCTCGCCCTCTCCAAGAACCGGGGACTGGGGGAGATCCGGATAAAAGAAAACAACAAGAAAATAGAAATCATGTGTGCGATTTCATGCGCTCAGCCTTTCCACTTCTCAGATTCTCCTCCCTGTATAAAAAATTCCATCTCTGCTTCAAAATTCAACTCCGTCTTTCTAAGTGTTTCGATGCATATGAGTCGTCCACAACACACAAGCAGCGTTATTTTGAAATCAACAAGAAAAGAGTCAGTCACCACCGAAAGTCCCCAAATTTCAGACAGTAAGTCCGCCGGCTCTGAAAATACAAGCAGCACTTCAAGTAGTTTCTTATCAGTTCTCTGCCCCCTTCTCAAGTTCTTTGGGGTAAGGATTTCGAATGTACTGCACTAGTTGGTTCATTTTGTTACCATTTGAGAACCATGTTGAGCATTCATGAATCATTTTTTTTAATATTCTTCTAGAATTTTATGTTGCTGAGTGATGATTTTGTTTTTCAGATCCATAGATGCTATTCTTTATAGTTTTATGCCTGAAATATATGAACCCTAATCTTTCATTCTACATAGTTATTTTTAGTATGATACAACTTCAAGCCTTTCTCCCACTACGTGGGGTCGGCAATATGAATCATTTTTCTCCATTGTGTCATGTTAAGGAGAAATTATTATATGCGGAGTCCGGACGTAGCTTCCCTTTGGACTCTAATCAAAACAGGCCACGTCGGCCTCTACACACACTGTGTACAATTTGTACACAGTGTACATGCGACGTGACCTGTTCTGATTGGAGTTCGGACAATGTTCGGATTCCGCACATAATAATTTCTCCATGTTAAGAGTTAAATTCTCCGTCTGTATTCCGTGCGTAATAATTTCTTCATGTTAAGAGTTAAATTCTCATTCAAATCTAATAAACAAAAGTCATTTCTAATACTTATATAACCAACTCTTTTTAGGTTTATCTCTATTTCTCTTAACATAGTCCAAATCTAATATATGTACTCTCTTAATTGGTTCATCAGAAGGCCAACGTTTTATGTGACAAAACCATCTAAGGCTACTTTCTCTAATCTTATTTACCACTGGAGCTACTCCAAACTTTTCGCGTATATACTCATTTTGCATTATGTAAAAAAAGACATATTTACCTAGAAAAACTAACAGGAACATATGTGACCAATTAGCTTTATTATTATTTTGGTGACTTTTGAACCAATTAAAGATAAACTTATAAAGACATTACACATACAAGCTTCAAACCTAAGACATTTTGATTAGTGGCTAAAACTTCCAACAAACAAATCTAGATGAGCTACATATTATTGAGAAGGACAAATGCTTGAATACAACAACAACAATATCAAGCTTTTATCCCACAACATGGGGTCGGCTATTTGAATCAATTTTCTCCATTGCGTCTTGTTAAGAGTCAAATTCTCATTTAAATCTGATTAAAAAAAGGTCATTTCTAATATTTTTCTAACCAAGTCTTTTTAGGCCTACCTTTACCTTTCTTAATATAGGTTAAATCTAATACATCTACTATCCTAATCAGAAGGCTGGCATTTCATGTGACCAAACCATCTAAGACGACTCTCTCTAATCTTATCTGCCACTGGAGCTACTCTAACCATTTCATGTATATACTCATTTCGCATTCTGTCTTTAAGAGTAAAGCCACCCATTCACCTGAGGATCCTCAAATCCTGCAACACTTAACTTACTTTTATGATTCTCACCACCATATTATAGAATTTTCCCTTAAGTTTGAGTGGGACTTTTCTATTACACATCAGACTCGATGTATTCCTCCACATCAACCATCCAACTTGAATTAGACTAATAATATCCCCATCTATTTCACCATTACTCTAAACAATAGACCCGAGATATCTAAAATGCATAATGTTATTAATGACTTGATTACCCAAAGTTACAATCTCCCCCCTAGATCTATTACTACTAAAATTACACTCAAAGTATTCGATTTTATATCTACTCAAACAAAAACCTTTAGGCTCTAAGGTTGACCTCCATAATTCAAGTTTACCTTCAACTCCCTCTGTAGTCTTATCAACAAGAATAATGTCATCAGCAAAATACATACACCAGGTTACATCCTCTTACCAATGTCTAGTAAGAACATCCATGACTAAAGCAAAAAGATATGGACTTAAAGCTAATCCTTGATGTAATCCATCCAACTGAAATAGGAAAATAATTGGTTAAACCACCTTGTGTTTGAACATAAGTAACAACTCCTGCATACATATGCTTAATGACTTGAATATAAGTATTATTAACCCCTTTCTTTTCTAGAACTCTCCATAGCACTTCCCTTGGAACTTTATCATATGTTTTCTCTAAATCAATAAATATCATATGATGGAAAAAAGTTGCTCTACAATAGTAACAACAACAACAAGCCTTTATCCCACTTTGTGGGATTGGCTATATGGATTCTTTTTCTCCATTGTGTCCTGTTAAGAGTCAAATTCCCATCTAAATCTAATAAAAAAAGTTGCTCTACAAAAATTTAAAATTAGTGTTGAGGCCTTGAGGGTCACATTCATACACCCCAAGAAAAGGTAAAAGAAAAAGAAAAATAATAGAGGACAAAGGTTTGAATGATATGCCAATATGAAGGGAAAATCAACTAAAAATACGGTTGTTATTTGTCAATTATAAATTGGATTAAATTTAATGGCTATATTGTTTTTATTTTTATTTTAAATGAACTTGTTTTATGGAACTATAAACCCCATACTGTTTAGATTCATAAATGCACTTAAAAGATTGGAGTCATGTATAGCTTAAGGCTCTCATGAATATGAGGTAAAAAATCAACTAAAAGATAAAGTTGCCATTTGTTTAATTGTAAGCTAGGGCAAAAAAAGTTACAATTATTTTTTTCCAGAGGGGCGTTCTTGATGGAGAGAAGAACGGTGGCCTTCCGATGACTCGGTTAGGAGATTAGATGTATTATATTTGGCTTATGTTAAGAACGGTAGAGGTAGACCTAAGCATTGTAGAGATGAGGACGCTTAGGTGGATGAGTGGCTTTACCCGTAGAGATAGGATACGAAATGAGCATATATGTGAAAAGGTTGGAGTAGCTTAAGTGGAAGATAAAATTAGAGAGAGTCGCCTTAGATGGTTTGGCCACATTAAACGAAGGCCTTTCGATGACCCTGTTAGGAAAGTTGAGGTATTAGATTTGACTTATGTTAAGAAAGGTAGAGATAGACCTAAAACGACTTGGTTAGAAAATATTAGAAATGATCTTTCTTTATTAGATTTAAGTGAGAATTTGACTTTTAACATGACACAATGGTGAAAAATGATTTATGTAGCCGACCCCACGTAGTGGGACAAAGGCTTGTTGTTGTTGTTGTTGTTGTTGTAGTGCATAATGGAGAAAAAAGATTCATGTAGCCGACCCCGCATAGTGGGATAAAGGCTTGATGTTGTTGTTGTTTAGGGCGTTCTTGATGGAACTAAAACTTGTAGATGAAAATTAATCTATGCATACAAAATGAGAAGAGTTTGAAGAAACATAGAAATGCAAGAAATAAGAAGAATTTAAAGAAACATAGAAATGCAGGAAATAAGGAGAATATAACTTTCATATCATTTAGTTTTTCCTTACTAAGCCTCAAGTGATACAATGACCATCTTTTATATACAATTCATAATATGTAATGATAAAGAAATATATTGTATGTCATTGATTAAGGGTGGAGATTGATTTTAGTTGTTATAAATGGATTGTTAGATGATCATTGCAGTAGTAGTGGTGGTCTTGTTGTCAGTTGAATGATGAAGGAGACATAAAATTTTCCCCAATTTGGGGTCCATGCTTGGATCAACAACTTGTCTTTAAGTTGTTGAAAATGAGTAGTATTGGAGGTTTAGTGAAAATATCTGTAGTTTGATTAGATGAGACTACATGATGCACAAAAATGTCTTTGAACTCGATGCATTTTCATTCTCTAATGAAAATGATAGTCGATTGCAATGTATGTTGTGCAAGCAGGAAAAATTAGATTGTTTGCTGAGGCCATAATAGTTGTAATATTATGCCAACATGGAGGTGCGGTTGATGTTTGAGTAATCTCAAGCTCATGTAGCATCCAAAGAAGCCATATAAGATCCATAACTTAAGCGGCATGTGCATAATACTCAGATTCAGTCATTGAACGCGTGACATTAGTTTGCTTCTTCACACACTAGGAGGTGAGAGAGCTACTTAAGAAAGCATAGAGAGCAGTGGTAGATTTTCGATCTTGAGGACATCCTGCGTAATCTAAGTAAGAATATGCATGAAACCTTAGAGGCCTTTTACATATTGGTAAAGGATATGTAATATAGTAATAGTGTGCCCTTGATGTATCTGAGAAGACGTTTGATAAATTGATAATGAATATTGAGAGAGCATGTATGTGTTGACACGGTAAGATAAAATTTTGGTTTAATAATAGTAAGATGTTGCAATGATCCCATAAGATGCAAGTATAGAGAAGGATTACTGAATGCCAGCTAAGTTGAATCAGTTAGACGTAGTTTGACAGGAATCATATTCTTAATAGGCTTACATTAGCCATATCAGCTTGCTAAAGGATCTCCAGTGCTTAGGATGACTAGGTAAGGTTAAGATCTCAGTTTGCGAGCAATGCTTGCATGCCAAGAAAATGATTAGTACCAAAATTTTACATATTGAAGCAACTATGTAATTTTTGCAACAGTTTATTGATGGTTGCACTGGAATTTTCTGTTAGTAATATGTCATCTACATAGACTATGTTATATAATGTGATTTTGTGATCTTTATAGTGTAATAAAGGTGGATTTGTTGTGCTAGAAGAAAATTCAAGCTTCTGTAAATAACTGGTGAAGGTGGCAAACCATTTTCTAGGTGTCGTCTTTAGACTATATATAGCCTTTATTAGAAGAAATATATGATCGAGATATTGAGAATCATGAAATCCCTATGTTTGCTTCATGTAAATGATCTCACTTCGAGTGATATGAAGTAAAGTATTTGAAACATGTAATTGTATGAGACTTCAATTGTCGTTTAGAGCTGCATCTCATATGGTAGGCATTTTGGCAACAGTATTGAAAGTGTTCGTTAAATCAGTGCCTGTTTTTTTTGTAGCCTTGCATAATCAATTATGTTTTGTGCTTAGCAATGACACTATTCAAATATTATTTTGTTTTAAAGACCCACTTGTTATAAAGAATATTTTGATCTATGAAAGGTGGAACAAGTAGACAGGAGCCTTGTGACTGACTTCAAGTCTTTAAGTCCTTAAGACATAGTTTTTCTCCATTTTTCTTATTTGACAATGAATGAATAACATT